CAAGCTCCCCCTCCCGGGTTCACGCCATTCTCCTGCCTCAGCCATCTCCAGTAGTGGGACTCACAGGCGCCCGTCCCTCGACCGGCTAGTTCACCATGTTAGCCAGGATGGTCTCGATCTCCTGACCTTGTGATCCACTCGTCTCGGCCTCCCAAAGTGCTGGGATTACAGGTTTGAGCCATCGCGCCCGGCCCAGTCATAGGTTTTAAACCTCAATATATAAGGGTGATCATACAGGACTTTGCAGCAAGCTTAATTTCATACTTCAGCCATGCTCATTATAGCTTCCATCCAACCTTTCTCTTAATTTCCTTATGTCACTTGATACCATTAGCCATTAAGTTCCTTTGTGGTCACAGGCAATGTGATTTAACCATCTTCAGCTCCTACTGGTGAAGGTCACCTCCTTTTGTTGTCTTGCACATCATAGTAGACACTACGTATGTTACTAAGAAAATTCAAGACCAGATGCAATGGTTCACACCTGTAATCCCAGCACTTTGGGAGGCCAAGGCAGGTGGATCATTTGAGTCCTGGAGCTCGAGACTAATCTGGGCAACATAGTAAGACCATGTCCTAATAAGAATGACAGAAAATTCCAGGCAAAACAGATGTGATGTTTAAGAGATTCACTATTTTAAAAGCAATACAAGTACCCTTGAAACAAAAAGAATCAGTGGGTCAGTATTACTTAATCTCTTAAAAATTACGCCCACTCCTGGCCAGACGTGGTGGCTCACACCTGTAATCCCAGCACTTTGGGAGGCCAAGGTGGGCGGATCACCTGAGGTCGGGAGTTCAAGACCAGCCTGACCAACATGGAGAAACCCCATCTTACTAAAAGTACAAAAATTAGGACAGGGTGGTGACACATGCCTGTAATCCCAGGTACTTGGGAGGCTGAGGCAGGAGAAATTGCTGAACCAGGAAGGTGGAGGTTATGGTGAGCTGAGATCATGCCATTGCACTCGCAGCCTGGGCAACAAGAGTGAAACTCCAGCTAAAAAAAAAAAAAAAAAAAACCCAAACCACAACAAAACAAAATCATGCCCACTTCTAAATCTTGAGTCAAGATTTAGGCAAGGTCTCATTTGCAGCATTTGTACTGTGCAAATAACAGGGTTTTTTTCCAAGTTGCACAATATTTCTGCTCCTCCTCAGGTCAACATGGCCCTTAATAGTCTTCAACTTTATTTTCTGCCACTCACCCATTGCTCACTATCTCTCAGCCACCTTGGTTTTCATTAGTTTCTAAATATGTCAAACTCTCTTTCTTTTTTTGCTTCAGCGTCTTTGACTGGAATCTTTCATTCATTCTTTCCCTGGCAAATTCCTACATTCTTCAGGTGTCAGCCTCCATGTTACTTTCTCAGACTGTCTTTCTCTGACTTCTCCCATCTAAATCATATCCCTTTGATAGACTCTTTAGTAGACCCTTTGTTCTTTTTCTTCATAACACTTAACACAATTTGTATTTACAGTTTTTAATGCCATAGTGTGTTGTCAAAATTTCCATGAGGACAATAATCATGTATTTAACACCACTATATGTGCAGCACTGAGCAAGGGCCTGACAGAACAGACCCTTATTGAGTGAATGAATGAATGAATGAATGGCTTCCTGTGAGTTAACATAGAACGTGAGAGGAGATTTCTTCCTCTTTAAATACCACTGCTGATAAAGTACTAAGGCAGAATCATTGATAAAGTAGATCATGGGCCAAATTCTGCCTTTAGATATCAAAAGGAATCTTTAGAGAGGAAAGATCAACCTAGTTAAAAAGGATTCATGTAGGAGACGGGAATTGGAACTGATTTCGGATGAGAAGGCATGGCATTTCAACTCTGGAAAGAGCATAAGGTACAGATATAGGCATTAGAATCTTAATAACAACAATTAACTGACATTTATTTATTTTTGGTATGTTGTTATGTTTTTGTTTTTGAGACAGAGTCTAACTCTGCAACCTCCAGCTCCCAGGCTCAAGTAATTCTCATGCCTCAGCCTCCCAAGTAGCTGGGATTACAGGTGTGCGTCACCACACCCGGTTTTTGTATTTTTAGTAGAGATGGGGTTTCGCCATGTTGCCCAGGCTGGCCTTGAAATCCTGGCTTCAAGTGATCCACCCACCTCAGCCTCCCAAAGTTTTGGGATTACAGGCGTGAGCCATCGCGCCCAGCTTGACATTTATGGAACACAAATGTACTAAGTGTCTATATTCATTATCTGATTTGAGACACTGTAATTTAGAAGAGGCAGCAGCACAGGAATTGAAAGTTCAGACTTTGGATTCCAATCACAGCAGAGTAAGCTTGGGCAATTATTTAATATCTCCGTGCCTCTGTGCGCTTAGTCCCTTGCGTGATTGCCTTCTGGAAATCCATAGGAAAGGCTTTCCCTGGACTTCCATCGGCTTTTGGGATCCTAGAATTCTTTTTTCCTTCCTTGACAGGAAATACGTATAGGAAGAACAAGGTCCTCTCTGCCTGGTGTTTGTCAATATGACTTCTTGTGACTATTTTCCTCTAAACATAAGGTTTTTCTGAGTTCAGATTTTGGGGCTGATCAAAGAAGAGATGTGACCACAAGGTGGCAGTAGCATGCAACAAGCTTTATTTGGGTGGTGCTTGAGAGACTGCATGTAAGGACATCCCTCATAGCTGGAGACGGAGACCTTCCAGAGGCAGAGGTGTATGGCCCCCACGCAGAAGGGGAAGAAGGCAAGGGAACTACTCCCGGGGTACGGAAGAAGCAGAAATGGGGTTTATCTGTCTAGGCGATGTTGTACAACTGCAAAATGAGGAGTCTCTGAGTCAGAGAACTTGGAAGGGCAGCAGAGGTTTGGGGTCTTTTATAGCCCTATGCTTTGTCTTATCTTTGGTCAACAGATGCCAGGTACAGTTTTATCTTTGGCTAGCAGGCAGACTCTAAATGGCTAAAAACATGGCCATCTGAGCTCTGTGTGTGTGTGTGTGTGTGACTATTTTCCCCTAAACATTTATTATTATTATTATTATTTTTGAGATGGAGTCTTGCTCTGTATCCCAGGCTGGAGTGCAATGGCACAATCTCATCTCATTGCAACCTCCATCTCCTGGGTTGAAGAGATTCTCCTGCCTCAGCCTCCCAAGTAGCTGGGACTACAGGCGTGCACTACCATGCCCAGCTACTTTTTGTAATTTTTAGTAGAGATGGGGTTTCACCATGTTGGCCAGGCTGGTCTCAAACTCCTGATCTCAGGCAATCTGCCTGCCTCGGCCTCCCAAAGTGCTGTGATTACAGGCGTAAGCCACCGTGCCTGGCCCATCTGAGCTGTATTTAAGGGATTACATGGATAACATTTTGAGCTTAGGGAAGGTAAGCTTTTGAGCTAATGGTCCCAGCCTGATGTGAAGAAGCAAACAATATGTGCCCAATATACGCGGGCCAATCTTTAACACCTTTATTTTCCTTTTAATTCATTGATTTTTGAAACTAGAGTTGCTGAAATTCTAATTCACATTAAATTATTAAGGTTTACTAATTAAGCCTTTAAATAATATTTCTGTAAATTTTTAAAATCTGACTTTCGATACAGATGCCAACATTTTAAAGCTGTCATGGATTTTAAGAGTTCCAATATTATCTATAAAAATCTTTGTGGCAGTTACCTGGGCTAAGTGCTCATATACAAAATAAACTGATTAAATCAAGTGGGCTATTGGATGCTTTCTAGTTCCAAAACCCTAATGAAGGGTTTTATGAAAATTAAAATCCAAAGTTTCACCACAGAAATATAAAGTTACTTTTTTTTTTTTTTTAGCAGATGAAAAGGTAATGCTTGGGATGCCTGTAAGTGGCTAAAAGTTGGAAAGGGAAGTTCTGATATGACCCAAATCTGTAAGTTTTTAAGGTCCTATTTGAATTTTTTTAAAAATTCAAAAATTCAGGAAGATATGCATGTCATCTGTGTACATACTGACAAAGACTATCTCTTTGACCAAACTTTACTCAGCCTCTTCTGAGCCCTCTTCTTGACTAGGCCTTGACTTTGGGCCCTACCCCACCTGTAATTGTTGGCCTACCTCAGTCTTAACAAGAATCCTGTCAGTTTAGTGAGGATCCCGCCACTCTGGATATCTGATCAACCCTGATATCTGATCAAGTTCCTCCTTCTCCACTTCTGAAGTGTAAGCCCTTAGCCTGCCTTCAGCAAGAATCCTACTATCCTTGATGTCTCCTCTTAGTACTTTTCCATCCATTGACCCTCCTTACTCTAACTGTTGGTTATAAATACCCCAGCAGTCCTTGCTGTATTCCCAATTGAGCCCAATCTTGCTTCCCTATTACAATATTTTGATTGCATAGTCCTGAATAAAGTCTTCCTTACCATTTTAACAAATGTCAGAATATATTTTTCTTTAACAATAACACACAACCAATCCTAACATTCTTTTATACTCACCTAACTTAAAAAAATAAATAAAACATTACACATACAATTGATGCACAGGAAAAATTTTTCAACCCCATTCATAATATAGCAATAAAAAATTGAAACTGAACTGAAATACTATTTATTATTCAACAGGTTGGCAACAATCCAAAAGTCTGACAACTTACTCTACTGATAAAGTTGTGGGAAATACAGGCACTCACATACATTGCTGGTTGGATTGCAAAATGCCAGCATACCCATGGATGGGTATGTGGCCATATTAGGCA